AGATGGTATTGAACATAATCAGAATTGCACATCAGAGTGAACAAATTCACAATGCCAAGTAGAGAGTATTCCAGAAATATGAAGATGATTCAATGTGAGAAAAATCTATCAACCAGAAATTCTATATGATCTTATTAACATACGCTGAAAATCTGTTGATAAAATTCAGCAGTGCTTTTTTTAAGCCCAAGTAAATTAAGAAAAGAAAAAGCCTAAGTTTGATAAACAGCATGTTAAACTATGAAATATTAAAAGCCATCCACATTATAATCAAATCTAATTCAGAAATTTTCACTGTTTTCACCATTTTAACAGTCTTTTGAAGATAACACAGCAAGACTTGAGCAATTGAAATATTAGAAAATAAGAGTTAAAAAGATCATATACAGACAGTATGATTTCTATAGGCAGACAACCTAAAGTATAACTTGAAAAGTGACAGAATGTAAAGTCACTATACAAAATAATATTTGTCCATTAGAAATAACCTTATCAAAATGAAAATGGAAAAGAATTGCTCCTTGCAATAGAAATGAAACCCATAAAATTCCCAATAATAAATTAAGCTAGATAGAAATGAAAGAAAAAAAAATAAGATTGTATTAAAACGCACACAACAGAACCTGAAAAAATGGAAAGTTCTGTTTTCCTTAAAGGAAAATACTTGATATCATGAAATTATAAACTCTTTCCAAGTTCATTTAGAAACAATGCAGTTCAAATCAGAATTTCGTACCCTTTGTTTCATTTTTGGAAACTGATAATAGCTAACATTTGTTGAGTGGTTACTATGTGCCAGGCACTATTTGTTTTTATTTTTTGTTTTTTCACCCAGTAGTAAATAATAAACCAGCCAGGCAATATTTCAACATCTCATACGTGTTAATGCTCACAACCTCACAAGGAGGTAGTAATACTAATTTAGTCCCACTTTGCAGGTAAGAAAATGAAAGCAAAAATTGTTTATGTTAATTCCTAAGCCCACACAATTAGTTAAGTGGCAGGATTCAAACCAAGAGGTGTTCTGGCTTAGCTAAACCAGCAAGCTATTTTTGGCTTCATCAGGAAGAATACAAACACAATAATAATCAAGAAGCTTTTGAAAAACAAGAAAGATGGGAGCTACCTATTCTAACAGAGAATTTACTTTAAAGTCATTGTAATCACATGGTATGATATTGACACAGAAGTAAACAGATCATGGGGACTTCAGAAACAGATCCAACTATATAGGAATTTAATGTATTATAAAGGGAAAAATGGCTTATTTAATGGGCAGTGTTAACAATTTCAGGCAACAACTAAGAAAACACATAGGTTCCTATTTCATGCAGAACATTTAAAATATATTTCATATGATTTGAAGCTACATAAAAATTAAAATTACAAAAATAATTTTTAACATATATGAGAATCAATACATATTGCCATGATATGGAATCTTCTTAGGCAAGATAAGAAATGCAGAGAAGTCATTAAAAAGGAAAAAAGGACAGCTTTAACTGCTTAATAGTTTCTGTATGACGGCATATACCATCTACAAAGATCAAAGAAAAAAGATGATACTGGGAGGAAATAGTTGCATTAGATTTTGTAGAGAAACTGTTCTACATGTCATTTTTAAAAAGACAATACAGTAGAAAAGAAAACAAAGGATAAATGAGAAAACAAAAGATAAAGAATAAATGATAAGTTTGTAGAAGAGGAAATGAATACAGAATATATTATAAGTCCAGAGGTTATGTCTTAACTAAATGTTAAATTCTAAAACTGAAGAAGTGAAAAATCTAGTGTAGTTAAAATTATCTTTGGAAATTCCTTAACCTGCATATAAAGTTTATTACATATTTGAAAATATAAAACCTGGTACCTTATAAATTCTATACGTGCTAAATTTCAGGAAGCACTGAACAGAGCAATGAAGACTGAAAAATATACAGATGTCTGAGCCTTCAAATTTTTCTGGCTTTAGGGTACCTATCAAAACAGTAGAGAAATATGCAGAGCATGTAAAAAATTCCTATTTTCCTGAAGATTTTATTCCATTTTTTAAAAAGTAGTAAACATACATAAGCTTAATATTTATTAATAGATTTGTTTATTTGGAAACAATTTACATAAAAGAACCTAATGAAGAGCTTGAAACACAATTGGAACTCAACAAAGTTTGCTGGGTCTGCATTTAAATCTTGCTTATTACTTAGACCCACATACACACTGTTCTTTGAAAAGTTGTTTAGAAGACCTTGGTTGGCTTCCTTTCTTTCCAAGTTGGTGTCTTCTGTATAGCCTAGTGAGCAGCTGTCACTTTCTTGTCTTTTACACTGGTTTCAAGGCACGTCACCCATAGTTCTGGAAATATGTGCTAAAGGAGGATAACATGTTTTGCGTCCTACACTTGAAAAAATTAGAACAATTAGTAACATCCTATGCTGACTAAGGTGTGGAAAATAGGCACTCTAGTAGTACACTTTTGATAGAAGTGTGAATTATTTAAGCCTTTTGGAAAAGCTTTTGGAAAAATTTATTCTGTAAACTTTTTCAAGAGAAGTGAAAGCACCAGTTCTGTGTGGCAAACACTGAAACTAACACAAATGTCCATCGATAGGAAAATAATGGAATAAATTATGCTATTCCTACACTGGGAAAAAATACTGTGCTTCAAAAAAAAAAAAAATGGTGGTTTACTAGGGGTGGGGATGTGAAGGAAAAGAGGAGATATTAGCCAAAGGGTACAGACTTTCAGTTGTAAGATGAATAAGTTCAGGGGATCCAATACACAGTGTGGTGACTATGGTTAACAGTACTGAATTGTATACTTGAAATTCATTTAAATGTCCTCACCACAAAACAAACAAAAGGTTAACCAGGTGAGGTGAGAGATGTGTTAACTAACTTGACTGTGGTATTCATTGCCCAAAACACATGTATATTGAATCTTCATGTTGTATACCATAAAATCATACAATTTTGTCAATTATGCCTCAATAAACCTAGAACATCTTAAAGAGAAAGATCTATATGTATTGACTAGAAAAGTACCCATGATGTTTTTCTAGAAATTGTTCATAATAGACAAAATATAATACTATCTTTGTTTAAAACAAGTGAAAACTGAAAGCCCAACCACAAAAAGAATCCAAACCTATATGTATGTGTATATGTTTGCATAAGACTTTCAAAAGTATGAAAAATATAGTTGTTGTCATTGGGGCCAGAATCAGATGGGTAAGGGAAGAGCAAGACAATAATTTTGCTTTTTTTTTTTTTTTTTTTTTTTTTTTTTTTTTTTTTTTTTTTTTGAGACGGAGTTTCGCTCTTGTTACCCAGGCTGGAGTGCAATGGCATGATCGCGGCTCACTGCAACCTCCGCCTCCTGGGTTCTGGCAATTCTCCTGCCTCAGCCTCCTTAGTAGCTGGGATTACAGGCAAGTGCCACCATGCCCAGCTAATTTTTTGTATTTTTAGTAGAGACGGGGTTTCACCATGTTGACCAGGATGGCCTCGATCTCTTGACCTTGTGATCCACCCACCTCGGCCTCCCAAACTGCTGGGATTACAGGCTTGAGCCATCGCACCTGGCCTCATTTTACTTTTTACTCCTTTGTGTGTGAAGGCCTGACCCAAATGAGTGGTAATAGGAATTAAAAGTAAAAGACAATTGGGAGATGTCATACAGAAATGGAGTGGGGGGGATCTGACAACTATTTGGATGTGGGTGGGAATCAAATGAAGTCAAAGATGGCTCAGCAATTTCTAGGCTGAGTGACTGAGGGATCATTTATAGAAGCTAGGATATCATGAGAAGATGAAGTGAATTACTTTTTATTGTTACCAGAGGAGAGACAATGAGTTCAGGATATCAATCAAAGCTCTGCTGCCTCTTGTTTTAAATAATAATTGCTTCAACAGCAAAGCTATTTGTCTTGGTCTTAAAACCTCAAAAAAATATGTTGCTTTAAAGAGTGAATGTAGGGTATATGAATTACATACCGTAAAGATTGTTTAAATGCTGCTTTATTGTTTCATTTTATGTGAATTATGGAATTAAAAGAGCCACACTGTTGTCTGTTATTTTACCTCATCCATGCATATTTTACGACAAAAGGATGTTTCCTTTTGAACCAGAAAAAAAAAAATAAGAATTTAAAATAATCCCAAATACACAAAGAAAAGTAAGCTTTTCTATTGTATACAGAGTGGCAGAGACTACAAAATATGGCCTGAAGAATTTTTACTGTATGTTTCATTTATTTTGTTTTAATATAGTTATTCCTGTTGTAACTCGATGCCTAGTAAATTATTGAGTATACTGTTGCTAAAAAGAAATTCTGTAGAGACAGCTTCACAAACGTTTTTAGATCTAGGAATACCTTATGCACTTTTATTCCACAGAAAACAGCACTAGAAATTTAGCCCCATTGAGAATGTATTTCTTGGAAATATTGTCAAAATACTAGGTGAATTTATTTCTATATAATTATATTTTATGTTGGGGCTGAAGCAGAAGTGCTTAATTCATAAGTATGAGTTTTTCTGCACAGTTAAACAAATCAACAAAGTCACCTGAATCAATCACTTTAATTTTAATTTCCAGTTAGGTGGAAGTCTACTGCCCTTGCAGTAGACTTCTCCATTCACTCTTATTCTCCATTCATCATTGGTTATGTTTTCACTTCAGGCAGTATTTCTATGTTCATATTTCTTAGTTGAATTGTAAGGAGACTTCCATGGGAAATGTTTTTATATTCCATTTGTTATCCGCAATCAGAGTTATAACAGGACATTTCTGTAACTCTCATCTTTTTATTTTGAGTCTAAAGAATTTCTTAAATTTCAAAACCTTCAGAGAACTGGGTGATTATGAGACTGTATGAAATCAGGAGATTATTTATTTTGTTGACTAATTATAATTTGGGTTAAGCTACATATGGTCCCCCTTTGGAGAAAATAGAACAGAGTTAATAAATTTAATAGTTTTTATGCTTTGTGTTTTCCAGAAAATAAACACTGCTGGAACCAGTAATGCAGAAGTCCCCTTGGCTGATCCCGGAATGTACCAGTTGGACATTACATTAAGAAGGGGTCAAAGTTTAGCTGCCCGAGATCGAGGAGGTAAGTGCATAAGAGCAATATCACCTAGAAGCTTTTTATGTGTTTATGACAAACTTTGTTTTCCATATGTTTGCTTGAGTTATAAAAAGTTAGCTAGAATATAATTCCTAGAAGCTTGTATTCAAAGATGCAGTTTGACACATTACTTGTCTCCTCTGACCATAGTGGAAGAGGTTTTGATGCGAGTTCCAAAACTCTGCCTTACTCCCAACCCAGACAGCAAGGTCCCTATCGAACTGCCGACAAATTCGACTCTACATCATATGTAATTAGTGACATAATTGATTACATAAGTGAGGCATATATTTGAAGCCATTTACCTTTTGGTAGACCTGAAATTCTTTTTGCTGCATAGATTTGCTCAGTTGAATCTGCTAACCTTACAGGACCCAGGACTAATATCTCTCCAAAACTTCAGAGATTCCTAACAAGTGACCTTTTGAGGCCTGGTTGGACCTGGCCGTAGTCTCATGGTAGATTAAACACATTTTATAGGCCATGAGGAAGAATAAAACAAGGCAAACACTCTTAAGTTTCTTAAGATTTCAAATCCCAAGGCAATCTCCTGATGAACTAGGATAAGCCACTTGAGGGATTTCTTGAACCCAGGTTAGAGGCAGGACCAAGGATAGACCTCAAATAGACTGTGTAGCAACGTTGGCACATTTTGAATATGAGTACCGCAGGAGATGGGTACATTGAGGGCCCTTGAGCCTCCAATTCCAAAGGAGGCTGAGTTTGGGTGTAACTTGTCCCGCAAGGAGGAAGGAGAGTTTCCAAGCCTTGCTAACTCATTGTCAGACAACCTTAAGAGTGCTCCTGGACCATATGACCCTATTTTGTTTCTCCTACCCTATTGGACGTCATACATAGGGAATACAAGGAACCACATTAGGGCTGCAGTTTATAATTTGTCTCCTCTATCTAAAGAAATAAAATAATAAAATAATTGATAATGCTACAGTATTTTATGACTAGGAGCTGTAGAAATAATAGATTCAATTGTTAAGTAAAAACTAGTAAATATCAAACCTTCTTGGCCAGGTGTCGTGGCTCACACCTGTAATCCCAGCACTCTGGAAGGCTGACATGGGAGGATTACTTGAGGCCAGGAGTTTGAGACCAGCCTGGACAATACACTGAGACCTTCTATATACAAAACATAAAAAAAGTTTAAAAAGACATTCTTAGTGAGTGAATATGTGATTGATAATATTAGAATTTAAAAAGATGGGAGAAGTTTTCAAAAATAACCATCTGATTTAGTAGTGAAGGACATATGTTTATTGAATTGAACTTCCTATTTCCAAAGAAGATACAGTCAAATTAGATAAAGAAAATAATGCAAATAACAAAGTATTATTTTGCTATATTTACAGTGTATACAACTTTTTTTAGTTTTCAAAGTGCTCTCAGTTATATCATTTGATCTAAAACAGAGTTGGACTTGGGAACAGAAAATCAAAATTTTAGTCCTACATATTCCCCCAACAACCTGAAATGCATATGTATGCAATTATTTATTGTAGCATTGTTTATAATTATAAAATTTTGGTGATAATAGAAATATCCATAAATACAGGAGTGGTTGAATAAACTATGGCATATCTACGTGGGAGAATACTACGGAGCTGTAAAAATAAATAATGAAAATCTCTAGAAATTGATATGGAAAAATGTACGGGATATATTGTGAAGTTCACATAAGCAAAGTACAAAAGAGTATCAGTAATATGTAACAGTCTATGTAAGAAAGAAATACATAAGAAGTTGTGTGTTATCTTCTCATTTGTACCAAAAGAATTACAGGAATCAAAAGATAGAAACTAATGGGACTGATAATATACAGAATGTGGGTAAAAAACTGATGGCAAGAATGGGAGATGGGAATGGAGTAAAAGGGATAAAGAGGGAATGGCATTTATCTGAGTAAATTTTCTTAATTAATTTAAAGTCTTTATGACAGTATTTTAGCACTCCAAAATAATTAAATAATTAAAATCAATCAGGATTTAGGAAGAACCCATAACAATAATCTCATCTCAAGGGGATAGGAAATAAAACCGCTAACCTAAGTAGCTATGGAAACCAGTATTTGAATTATATATACAGGCTTACTTTGGAGATAATGCAAGTTCAGTTCCAGACCACCACAATAAAGCAAATATCACAATAAAGTAAGTCACACAAGTGTTTTGATTTCCCAGTGCATACAGAAATTATATTTATACCCTACTGTAGTCTTTTAGGTATGAATAGCATTATTCACAAATGTGTCTAAAAACATATGTACCTTGATTTTTAAAATACTGCTTTAAAAATGCTAACAATCATCTGAGCCTTCTGTGAATGATAATCTTTTTGCTGGTGGAGGGTCTTTCTTCGATGTTGATGGCTGCTGACTGATCAGGGTGGTGGTTGCTGAAGGTTGGAGTGGCTGTGGCAATTTCATAAAATAAGACAACAATGAAGTTTGCCACATTGATTTACTCTTCCTTTCACAAAAGATGTATCTGTAGCCTGAGATGCTGTTTGATAGAAAATGGAGCTTCTTTCAAAACTGGAGTCAGTCATCTCAAACCCTGCTTTATCACATAAGTCAATGAGCTATTGTAAATCTTTTGTTGTCATTTCAACAGTGTTCACAGCATCTTCACCATGAGTAGATTCCGTCTCAAGAAACCACTTTCACTGCTCATTCATAAGAAACAGCTCTTCATTTGATCATATTTTATCATGAGATTGCAGCAATTCATTCATCATCAGGCTCCACTTCTAATTGTAATTATCTTGGTATTTTCCCCACATCTACAGTTACTTCCTCCACTGAAGTCTTGAACCCCTCAAACCCTCAAGTCATCTATAAGGGTCAAAATCAACTTCTCCCAAAGCCCTGTTAATGTCGAAATTTTGACCTCCTCTCATAAATCATGAATTTTTTGTTGTTGTTTTAGAGACATGGTATTACTCTGTTGCCTAGGCTGGAGTGCAGTGGCACAAACATACTGTAACCTCCAACTCCTGGGCTCAAGCATCTTCCCGCCTCAGCCTACTGAGAGTACCTAGGACTACAGGTGTGTGTCTCCAAGCCCAGCTATTTTTTCCTTTTTTTTTTTTT